TATATAAGTTATACGTGTTTGAAATAACATTAGGAAGAGTAAATAATGTCATTTTTTATTTTTAGGTGAATTATTCCTTCAATGTCTTGTAAAAGGGTAATAGATTCAGTCTTATTGTCGTTAAGGTGAGATTTTATGGTGAAAAACATGGCATCTCTCAGTGGGACCGTATAGCACTTGAGCAGAGTAGGCTTATGGAAGGGAGGGGTTTGCTCCGAACTTGCTTGGAATGAATCGTTTCGAAATCATTGGCAAATGACTCTAATATTAAATGTATATTCTGAGAAAATTGCTATGTTTTCTGACCTTAGATGCATTTAAACCTGTTGTAGAGGACTTCAACACAATATTAGGACACTTTAAAATACCATATGACCTGCTTTTTAAGTAAAACTTAAACTGTTAAAATTTATTTTCTTTATTTAAAATAAATATTAGATGAAAAACTTTGCAAGTAACTGAAATAAAATAAGTTAAAGAGGTACTAAAATTACTAAGACTAAAACAGAAATAAAAATTAATTAAAAAAAATTATGAATAAATAAATTAAATTAAATGTAAAATAATAAAAATTAAAACAACATTTAAAAGAAAACTGAATATATAAAATACTAATAAATACTGTAGTATATAAATAATACTAAAAAACACTGCCCAGGTCCCAGTTTGAATACTCCTGGGATAAATGTCAACTATAAATGTTGAGTATATTTGTAATTTAGAGAGAAAAACTTTTAAAGATTTACTTTAACAGATGCAATATTGCCACCTATTGCCCCTTGATATTTTACAGTATTTTTTTTAATGTTGCTGTTTCCCTTGTTGTCTTGTTTTTAAGGTGACCCGTGTACCATCTCATCCCAGATGGAGCTGGAGGAAGCATTCCGGATCTACACCCGGAACCGGTGCTCCGGACTCCTATTGCATGGTACTCATTCACTCAAAACATGTGAAATCAACCTATTTTCCCCTTGTTTATTAAATTTTCAATTGTTCTACAAGTAGAATTACTCTATCTGTATTTTTATCCATCTATTTATAAATAACTGAATGCAGATTTAAACTACACAGTGGAAATCCACCAAACCACTAAAAATATCATGTGGACACTACACAACTAAAGCACTTGATAAAAGTCAATTTTCTTTAGAAAACTGAGTATTTGAAATTGACTGTATTTGCTGACCCTATGAATACAGTAGATAAAACCACTGGATTGAGTCACACTAATTTCTCTTTGCCTTTCTTTCTCTGTCTAGTATTCCCAAGCATTCCTGAAAAGCCTGGTATGCCGTGCCCAGGAGAGGACAGTGAGTTAAAAGTCATCAAAGTCTTGGCATTTTCAACATTTTCATGTGCTCCTTGTTTAAAGTGGTCATTCTGTCTGCTACAGTCACTCAATACAAGAAGCCGATTTAAAATGATCTCTTTCAAGTCTATCCCAGAAATAGTTTTAGTCTGTGCATTTACTTTTTTCCCCTTTGTCTTGTTTAACAACCTCTATTAATTTATGACTTTGTGATGTTAACAGAATAGTTCATCTGAAACATTTACTCACCCTGATGTCGTTCCAAACCTGTATGTGCTTTTTTTCTTCCATGGAACACAAAAAGAGAATTTTGCACAAAATTAAACTGCTCACACTTTATATAGGAGCGTATAGCACTCTGGTAACTGCACAGTAATCCTGTGTTAATGTGCACTTTTACTGCCCTGAAGGCCAGATGGGGCTAAACTGCTGAGTCAGGACCTTGTGCACAGTATGGCCGCTCCTTTCTGAAAGCGTTCTGAATTCACGATCATCCTTGCCTGTGGCACAGGCACGATAGATGCCGTCTGCATCATTTGTGTGTGTGAGAGAGTTGTGTATTAATGGTTCCCTGCTGCATCTTGCATGTGTTTATATGTGTGTATGAGGAATGCTCCTAATATGCTTTGTGTAGTTATGAGTGTGTGTGTGTGTGTGTGTGTGTGTGTTTTTTGCTTTGCATTACATACAGATGAAAGTACCTTGCATTTCTGTTCTTTGTCTGAATGATGCCTTCAGTACACTGTGAATGTGATCTTGTGTAGTTTGTACATGAGAAGTGTTGGACTGACCCCTTTGATTGCTGTTCTGTAGGTACATAATGACTTGTGGCAGGCTGTTAACTTTTCTGTCTGCGTTTGTTTCTGTTCTGGTCCACCTTTTTTCTCTCCTTGTCAGCAGTTTGTGCCACATTTGTTGTTGTTGGGTGTTCTCTCAGAGGAGGCAAGCCTCCTCAGAAAAGAACATAATTGACAGTATAAATAAAACAAATGTATTATGAGATAAAACAGTGTTTAAAGTAAAAAAAAATTCTAAAGTGACCATTAATCGTAATAAAACCAAAATCTTGATATGGTTTAGTGTGATTATGAAGTCTCCTAGGCTGCAATTTGATTGAATAAATATATGCACTGTGTGTTTCAGAGTGAAGCGTGGCGCTGTGTTGTTTTACACGTGAGCAGCTCACAATCCAGTGTTTTCAGTGTCTAAAAGCGACTCGGTTCGCAGTAAATTCTGCTCCACATGAACTCATCTCTGCATGTGCTGCATGGCTTTGGTTTGTTTGTAATGTGCATTTGGGAACATAACATGCACCAAACATCTTCCCAAACTTGTAATGAGAACCGGCTGTTGTCAGCAAATAAGAAGCTGTAAGGGCTTTTAATGGTTTAACATTTACAAATGATAAAAATGAAGACAGCCATGAATATTGCATTGTCATTTTACAGTTTTAAAGGTGACATATCATGAAAATCTGACTTTTCCGGGTTTTAAGTGCTATAATCAGGTCCCCGGTGCATCTACCAACCAAGGAAATGTGAAAAAGATTAACCCAGTAACTTTGTTTTGGGAAGCCTTTTTCTGCAAGTGTCTGAGAAAACGAGCGCGTCAGATTTTGCTCCCTTGGTGACGTGGCAAAGGGAACTCATTGTAATATTACCTCCCCTTAATCTGTAAGTTTACACCCATGGCGCCGTCATTTGATTTCGCAAGCGACAACGGTGTACGAGAGAGCAGTGCATTTATTGATTTATTTACTGTATATTGCTGCTGCCACACAGATCTAAAATAAACATTCGATTTATTTCCCAGCTGTTTACCTTCACAGACATAACCAACTGTTTTTGTAACTCGTGTGATTTTAACGTAAATTTGTGTGTGAAAGAGAACTTAGTTTAGTACTCACATGCCGTGACAGCCGCTTTCTGTCCGTGTGCTTCGGATGTGTGCTCTCAGAAAACCGTATTAGTTTAAACTCATATGGTTTAAAACGCATAATTTCAGTGCAATAAACATGATAATCAGAACCAAAACAGATGTTTTTAGCAGGAACAAGCTGTAATGGCGCAGCTCTATTCTGGAAAAGG